GTTTTGCTCAGAAAACATCCCCATGCAGCAGAAGAAACAAGCAAGACAATAACCCCTTGAGGAAAAGCCCCACAGCACTTCCCTGCAGGTGGTCCTTGGTGCTGCTCCACTCTGCTGCCTCCCCCATAGTTCCCAGCACGGCTTTTCCAGCACATCCCATTCTGCTCTCTGCAGCTCCGCACCTGGAGCAGGATGTGCCGGTGGCTGCTTAAGCCTCTGCCCCCAGATGCCGGCTCCTGCGGGGTGTTGTGTTTCCGGCACTCTCCTCCCGGATCTCTCCCGTTTCCTTCCGTGCGGATGCGGCCAGAGGAAACCCCAACACATGGGCTTGTCTGTGGCCGGGTTCTGGCTGCGGTCATGGGCTGGGGATGGCTCTGTGTGCTGGGACCTGGCCTCCTTGGCAGTGGTGCTGGTGGTGGTGGGTCCCCTTATGTGTGCAACCAAGCCTCCTAGACCTGTTCATTGTGGTAATAATTGGCAGTGGTAGTAGATATGTGCAGAACTGATACATGGGACTATTCAGAAACTTCTGGTCTGGCTGTTTTCTACTCTCATCTGCTCTTGTGAGCCCCCACTTGCATCACTTTGTGCAGTACTGGTGTCTTCAACATAAAAAGGACATGGAACTGTTGGAGCAAGTCCAGAGGAGGCCACGAGGATGCAGGGGCTGGAGCACCTCCTGTATGAAGATAGGCTGAGAAAGTTGGGGCTGTTCAGCCTGGAGAGGAGAAGGCTGCGTGGAGACCTCATAGCAGCTTCCAGTGTCTGAAGGGGGCTACAAGGGTGCTGGGGAGGGACTCTTCATCAGGGATTGTAGCGATAGGACAAGGGGTGATGGGTTCAAACTGAAACAGGGGAAGTTCAGGTTAGATATAAGGAAGAAGTTCTTTACTGTGAGGTTGCCCAGAGAAGCTGTGGCTGCCCCATCCCTGACAGTGTTCAAGGCCAGGTTGGATGGGGCTTGGAGCAGCCTGGTCCAGTGGAGGGTGTTCCTGCCCATGGCAGGGGCTTGGAACTGGATGGTCCTTTCCAAACCACACCATTCTATGGTTCTGTGGTTCAGGGTAACAGAAATGTGTGATGCAGAGGTGGGATTGAGGGCAGGCAGAGCAGAACTTGATCAGCCATAAGGAGGAAAGGGCTGGTCAGTGTCTTGCTATGTCAGCTGAAAGCAGGAGAGAGGTCAAGCACATGTAATACAGATGGGTGTTCTGTTAGACTATTCTGAAGGTGAACTTTGAATGTGAGATGTGCTCACTCGGGATATAGCTATATTTATATAGGGGTCAGGTACATATTGTTTGGGTGAGTAAGAGCCTTTGTTCCGAATCCCGCTGCTGAAGCCCACGTGGAGCTTTGGCTCTGCAGAGCTTCCTTTTCCTTTGTTGATGTGTATAGGAAAACCTGACTTCACCAGCTGCATCCCACTAGCCCAGGGACCTGCAGCAGTAGCCATCAGATCTGCCCACCTCTCCAGCCAACCCCTTTCATTGACTGCAGTGAAGACCTGGCCTTTAAGCAAACCGGTCTAGTGGAAGGTGTCCATACCTGTGGCAGGGGGGTGGAACTGGATGAGCTTTAAGGTCCCTTCCAACCCAAACCATTCTATGATTCCATGATTTATTTTGCCATCAAGGTGCTGGGAGGAAGAGCAGCCTCATCCCTGCTGTTGTAAGTTCTGTCGCTTGACAAAGCCAAGGTGTGTTTAATGATGCTGCCACACTGCAAAGGAATACTTGAGAGAGTCCCATGATCCCCTCCACTTTGGGGTGTAGGCAGGATTGTAGTAGCTTGGTCCCCATCCCCTTCATAGCATTCTTGCCGCACCAGAGTGCATTCACCCTGGATCCTTGCTGGGCTCTTGGCTGCAGAACTTCTTGTGGAAGAACCAGAAACTTCCACAATCATGGCAGAACTCATCGGTGTGGCTCACATGGTGTGTGTCTTTTGGGGGCTTTGCAAGGAAGAAGCCTTCTGTGTCATATTCATACTTAGGGAGATTCAGAGGCAAGCGTTGCTGGTGAAGCTTTGAGTTGAGCTCGCTCATGTTGGGGTGGCAGTGATGGGTGCACTGTGATGAGGGGGTCCCCATCCTTCCCTATACTTCAGGGTATTAGCAGAAATAGGCCTTTTCCCATTGTTCTACCATGGTTAATATGGTGGCACTGGGGATGATTTGTGATTGAATATCCATTAGGGATTTATGGGCTTCGGGGCTGGATTGCCGGGATGTGCATTACCAGAATACTTGAAACACATCCACTGGAGAAGAGACCATGTGGGAAAGGAGCACTCACTGTTCCCGTACGCAGGTGGTTCCCACTGAGCCTCCGTTACTGGCAGCGAGCACATCCAAGCAATAAAACGTTGTATGGGATGCAGAGTGCCAATGGGGCAGGAACTGTGTGCTGGATGATGATGGGGAGCAAACCACCGCTCCTTCTGTGTGATGCTGGTAGGTTTGAGGTTGGTTGGAGGGGGAAAAGGTGGGTTTTACTGCTTTTCCTTGTGCCCTGCAAGCACCTCTCATACTAGTGCATCGAGGCCGAAGGGGCAGAAGGCAAGATGTTGTTGAACACAGCGGAAGCTGAAAGAGCCAAGAGCTGAGCCCTCCCATCCCTTTGGAGGGTTTTGACCTCCTTTTTACTTAAAGTGAATGAATAAGGAAGGAAGCAGCTTGCTGAGGGGGTTGCCAGCAGGTTTTTCTTGGGAATCATTCACTCACCAGGTTGTTGGCTCCTTCTGTGGCTGTGCTGACCCACAGCTCAGTGGCTGGACCTACAGGAGCCACACAGCCTAAACCAGCCCCAAATTGCCCTCAAGAAATAACATTTTTTACCCAGCTGTGGTGAGCTTATCTCAGGGGAGAGCAATAAAGTGGTGATGGGTGGGAATGTCAGTGGAAAAGCACAGCGAGTTCCGGGAGGAGAGCAGGTTTTCCATCCTATCTTATAGGAGCATTGCAAGCTATGAGTAAAGATCCTGGCTTCTGTGGTCCAAATGGGGAGGGTGAGCTGCTCCAGGGGGTTCAGCATTGCTCTGAATGAGACCTAGAATCCTGTGGGAGACAGTTCCCACCTTACTCCCATCCCTCAGCCACGCTTCCAGTCTCCATCAGCTGCTAAGATCTGATTTTCTCAGGAGGGACTGGAAAGCCACCCCTGGGATGTCCCATCCATCCCCTGCAGCCAAGGCAGAGTCTGAACTTTGCAGAGCATCCTTGCAGGGCTCTGGGGTAGTGTTACCCACTAAACCAGTCAGGAGTGATGGCATATGATTGACAAGGGGGTTCAGTGCAACTAAGGGGGGCAGGGACATGCAAGGGTCTGCAGAGGAGGTGGGGTGAGCTCAGTGCTGAAATCCCCTTCAGTTTTGTCCCTTTCCCACCTCCAACCCCCTCTAAGCCCCTGTTCAAAAGTCCGGCTGTAAAACCATGGGCACAGAGATGCTCTGTGCACTGGAGCATCACCAGGGCTCACACATGCTCCCAGTAGTAGATAATCAGTGCCCTGCCAGGAGGAAAGTCCATGATTTAAACATCCACACTGGACACACTGAGGAGAGCAGCCTTCTTCCCCCTGCCACCTCCCCTGGCTTTATTCCCCTTTGCTATTTCATCTTTTGCTATTTGATGTTTTCATTCTGCTTGTGAAGCAGGAGCTGTTGAGCAGGTTGTAAATGATGCTAAGGCAGGTTGTAAATGATGCTCAAGCAGGTTGTATATGATGCTCAAGCAGGTTGTATATGATGCTCAAGCAGGTTGTATATGGTGCTCAAGCAGGTTGTATATGATGCTCAAGCAGGTTGTAAATGATACTCGAGCAGGTTGTATGTGATGCTCAAGCAGGTTGTAAATGATGCTCAGGCATGGAGCAGCCCAGCAACAGCCCCCAGGCAGTGTGATGAGCTGGTCGGTACTCAGCACACCTCCCTGCTGCCACCTGGTCTCATTGCATCAAGGTAAAACAGCCCAGAGGGGAATGTTTCTGAGTGCTGGGGCATCAGGAGGAGAGGCGAAAGGGGTTCATGCTGGCCTGGCTCAGGTTACTTATGTGCTTATGGTCTATTTTGAGGCTCTGTCCACATGGCATTAAGCAGCCGCTGACCCAGGGAAAGGACCAGCTTCAAAACAAGAGTCTGGTATGTAACGACCCAGGGAAGCACTGGGTTTCCCTTGGCTCTGAGCAGATCTGCAGCATGCTTATCCCCCCTCTGGGCCCATCCTCTCTTGGCTTGTGCCATTCCCACAGTGAGAATTGACTTTCTTATTTAATTCTTCCCATTGGGAAGAACTGGAGGCAAGGATGCCCCAGGATGTGAGGACGTGGTATTTCATAGGGAGCAACGTGCCATCAGTGATGGGGACGCGGATGAGCAAGCAGGGAGACACATCCATCACCAGTGCTGGCAAAACTGCTCACCCACCTCCCCCTCCTCTGCCCCCCCCTCCCCAAGAAAGCTCATTTGCAGGCAGCTTAGTTTGCCTAAGAGCATTAGCGGTGCATTTGGTGGACATTAGCTGCTCGAGCAGCACCGGGAGCATGTGGCCGATTAGCGCTGCATTTGGGGCAGGAATACTCACTGTGTGTTTCAGGAATGCAAAGGTGAGGTCTGGGGGGACAGGATGGGTGCCGGGGGGGGGGTCAGCGTGCATGACTAAGTACACCATTGTGTACTAAATACCTAAATACACCATTGGGTGCTGATGTTTGGTGGTATGAGAGTAAGCTGTGTGCTTTTCCCTTTTGCGAGGGGAATGTGTGTTCTCCCCCTGGCTTTCCAGTGCCACTTCAGCTTTCAGATGGTATTTCAACTTTGAGTACCATCTCACTTTATAGACTGCAGCAAAGATGAGGATGCTCAAGGATGCTCATGTGGGATGTGGGTGCCAGTACATTTGGGGTCACCGTATCCCTCTGCGTACCAGCGATGGGATTCTCGGAGCAAGCCTGGGAAGAAGAACACCCTCACCATCATGTTTCCCTTTCCCTCCCTTACAGCCTCGCTGTCCGCTGGGATTTATGGAGGTGCTGAGGAGCAGCTCTGAGCCCCGCAGCCCCCACCAGCTCGCCCCATAAAGCAGCGCCCGGCCGCCTCGCCTCCTCTCCCCCAGCATCCCGACCCTCCGACTCAACCATTCAAGGCTCCTGTGCATGGATCGCCCCAGCGAGGCGCCGCTGCCGGACGCCGCCGACGCCGCCCCGTAGGCTCCCGGCCCCCCGTGCCACCCCCAAGTACTCCACATACCCCGATGGGGTAACGTGACGGGGGTCACCCTCCCGCCACCTCCAACACCCCCCATATGCAGAGGCCTTTCTAGAGCGCCCGGGAGCGCGCGGCAGCCGCTCGCCGTCGCACACGCACCGAGGACGCCGACACTACAGCAAAGGGATTCTTGGTTTTGGTTTGGTTTTGGGGCTTTTTTTTTTAATTATTATTATTATCATTAATATTATTTTTTGCCCGTCTGGCTTTTCCCCCCTTCCCACCCCGGGGAGCTTGCGGTGTTGCTGAGGAAGCCGGCGCGCTCCCAAGAGCTGGGATTATTTGCACAACGTCTGTATATTGAGTTCTCGATCCTGTTTTGGGTTATTTTTGAAGGGCAGAGGGGTCATTGGGGCTTTTTTGTTCCCCCACCCTCCACACCACGCTTTCTCTTGGGTTTTTTGCCCCTACCACCATCAGCATCACCTCACCCTCCTCCTGTCCCAGCATGGCTCGGATGAACCGCCCTGCACCGGTGGAGGTCTGCTACAAAAACATGAGGTTCCTCATCACACACAACCCCACCAATGCCACGCTCAACACCTTCTTGGAGGTAAGGAGAGGAGGATGGAAGTGGGGGACTGGGGCCCTGCTGTGTATTTTGGGGCTAAAATCCGATGTTGAGATGCAACAGGGATCAACCCTGTGCAAGGTGAGGCAGCAGCACCTCCCCTTTGGTACCATGGACTCTGGTAGCATCCCAGGGTGGTGAGGTCCAATCACCAGTGGTGGCAGGATCTTTTGGAGGACCCCAAGTGGTGTGTTTGGATGGGGTAGAGATAAAGTAGTTTCCCCATTCCTGTTACATCCCTTCCAGCTCCACCACATCACATCAAAGGGTTTTGCTGTGATGCATAAGGATGCACACAACCTCCCCTGCATCTCCTGGCACCTCAGTAAGGACTTCTCATCCCAAATATCTCTGTGTCTTTCAATGCCCAGAGTGTGTTGGGTGGTCTAGAAGGACGTGGAGGGCTCAGTGTTGCATGAGCCAGCAATGGTGTCCTGCCTGGAAGCACTGGCTGCAGCAGGGAGTTAGGGGGGGAATAGTGGATGCATATCCATAGTCCAAGGTAAAAGGCTTCAACTTGCTCATCTTATCAATGCCTGGAGGAAACACCATGTCCTGCAGGCTCAGTCAAGCCAGTGCAAGCAGCTTCTGCTCATGAGGAATCATTTTGGAATGCTGTGTATTCCCAGGAGGACCTGAGGCTGCACATGCGCCTGGTGAAGGATTTTTGCCTTAGACCTAAGCCACATTGAGGTCCAGTGTGCTGGCACCTGTGGCATCCTCTGAGTTCAAGGAAAACCCCTTCAGTGCACACCCAGAACCCCACATGTGAGCACCACCAGCTCAAAGAGCCACAGGAAGGTGGTTGCAGTTTGGGGACAGCCACCACATACCTTGCACACTGTGCACAAGGCAATGGGGACACCACCAGTGGGAATGGGGAGAAATTCCCTTCCCTCCATCCAGTTGGATTTTAGGCTGAGCTGTCAAGCATGGGGGGCTTGGTCTGGCAAATGCATGTGGGGAATGAAGGAGATGGATCCACTGAAGGGGATGATCTCACACGTGCCGGTGTGCCGGCATGTAATCCAGGGGCAATCCTTGCAGCGGGTGACAAGCCAGGCTGGAAGCAGCCCAAATCCCACGCCCCAGCCTGCAGCGCATTGGAATGATGATGGGATATGGCAGCGAGGATGAGCAGGAGCCCCTGAGCAGTGTGCAAGATGCTGAGTGTAGTTGGTGGGATGCACTATGACCCCCCCCCAGACACCTCCATGCATTCTGCAGCAGGAGTTGCCACCTCCCTGGGCACAAATGATTTCTCTTTTGGGGGACTTCAGCCTATATCAAGGATGTTTCTTTGCATGCAGTGTAAAGGCCTTGGTGGTGTGGCTGTCAGGGCTTCAAATAGATGGCCCTGTTGGCACTCGTGACTCCAAGGAGCTGTGAAGATACTGAGTGAAGATCCTACATGGATTTGGTGCCCTGAGATTTCATGTTTCCTTTGTGTTTCCCAGGGTGGATGGACCACGGGGGGGGGTTGCTGCTTAGTGTCCAGAGATGGGGCACGGTGCTGTTGTATTAGGGACTGTGGTGGTCCTGTGGTGATAGCAGGGTTTTGGATGTGTTTGGGTTAACTGGGGTGCAGCTGGCAGGGTTTTCAGACCCCTCTTTCTCCTCCCCTCCCAAGGACCTGAAGAAATACGGTGCCACCACGGTTGTGCGAGTGTGCGAAGTGACCTATGACAAGACCCCCCTGGAGAAGGATGGCATCACCGTCATGGTAGGTGGGCAGCAGGATAGGTGCAGGGTGGGTTGCTTTTAAATACCCCCATCCCTCCTGTCTGCCAACACCCTGCATGTCACATAGACCAAAGCAGCATCGTGCTCGCCCAGGAGGAGGGTTTGAAGCCCAAATTCATCCTCGGGGCAACAGAGATGAGCTCTGAGATGGGGCTGGTGCTATAGAAAAAGCAAGTGCTGCCTACACATCGAAACTGTGACTCATGTGGTTGAGTCGGCAGCTGCCTCCCCTGCCTGTCGCTCCGGCTCTAAAGCATCCAGGGGGTGAGAGCGCCTGATCCCACGTGGAAGCTGCGCATGGTTCCTGTTACCCGCAGTGTTGTCTTACCCGGGGTGGGATGCGTGGGCTTTTTGCTCTTCCAGCAGCTCAGGGGGATGAAAGGCAGCAGGCAGCAAGCAGGGAAAGGCAAAGAGGCAGAGCAGGCAGCTGCCTGGGCTGCATCCCGGCTGATAAGTAATTGGAGATGATGTCAGGCGTGATTGCCCTGCCAAGGAGCTCAGCTCCAGCTGGAAAGGGAAGGGTTTGGAAGTGCCTCGTGTCTCCTGGGGTGGTCCTCTGTGCGTAGGCCCTCTCTCTAAAGCCTCTCTGTGTAATGTATGTCCTACAGAGATAGCCAGCTATATCCTAGATCCTCTGGGATGTAGATAGTAGATCCTATGTCTCTAGATAGAGTTCCTTCAGATGCATAACTTCAGATATAAATTCTATGTCTCTGTAGGGTGTATCTTACAGAGAAAGATAGCTGTACCCTACATATGGAATCTGTATGTGGGATATCATATCTGCTCACTTACACACCAGATTCTGCCTTTTATCCTGGAGTCCTCCAGTCTGTTTCTGTCTAGGCTATACATACCTCTAAATATCTAGAGAGATCTATATCTAGGATACTTTTTTGATAGGGAGATATCAATATCCTAGATACAGAAACTGTATAAGACACTATGGAAACTATATAGCTCCTATATTTATTTCTGTAACTTTCTGTACATAGAAACTATATGAGCTATATACAGAGATATCTGTATCCTATATATCTATGGATAGATGTACCTATGCAGATAGATGGATATCTGTATGTATAACTATATAAAATATATAGACTACATATCCTACCCCTTTCTTTGGGGAACAGCCACAAGTTAGCTGAGGTCTGAGTCCGGTGTACTGTGCGTGGGTGCCAGCATCCACAGCTACAGTGGCCACACGTACAGTGGTCCCATCCTGAGTATGCTCCGTGGGTGTTTTGAACACCTCCTCTGCTTTTGGCTCCTTTGTGTGCCACAGGGGATCCCAAGCAATCCCTAGAGCTGACGGCAGTTACCAAGTTGTGCCAGATGCAGGTGATCCATGCCATGAACATCTGCTTGGCAACACTTCCAGCAGGTCAGAGATGGGGCAGAAAGTCCGTAGGAGGACTAATATTGTACGGGTTTCACTGGAGGAAGGTTTATGGTGCAGGATGGATATACTAGTAGTGCTTAATATCCTCATCAGTGACACAGACAGTGGGATTGAGTGCACCCTCAGCAAGTTGGCAGGTGACACCAAGCTGACTGGTGTGGTTGATACTCTAGAGGGAAGAGATGCAATCCAAAGGGACCTGGACAGGCTGGAAGAGAGAACCTCCATGTGAACCTCATGAAATTCAACAACACCAAGTGCAAGGTTCTATACTTGGGCCAGGGCAGTCCCCAGTATCAGTGGAGACTGGGTGATAAATACATTGAGAGGAGCCCTGCAGAGAAGGATTTGGGGGTACTGATGCATGAAAAATGGGATGTGAGCCAGCAGTGTGCGCTTAAAGCCCAGAGAGCCAGCTGTATCCAGAGCAGCATTGAAAGGAGCGTGACCAGCAGGTCAAGAGAGGTGGTTTTCCCCCTCTACTATTCCACCTGAAGTACTGTGTCCAGCTCTGGGGTCCTCAGCACAGGGAAATCATGGACCTGTTGTAGGAGGTCCAGAGGACAGAAGTGATGGGAGGGCTGGAACACCTCTGCTATGAGGAAAGGCTGAGAGAGTTGGGGCTCAGCCTGGAGACAAGAAGGGTCTGGAGTGATCTCATTGCAGCCTTTCTGTATGGAAACAGGGCTTACAGGAAAGTGGAGGAAAGATTTTTTTAGCAGGGCCTGTAGGGACAGGACAAGGGGCAGTGAATTTGAACTGAGAGAGAGGGTAGGTTTAGATTGGGTATAAGGAAGAAATTTGTTATGAGTGATGAGGCACTGGCACAGGGTGCCCAGAGAAGCTGTGGCTGCCCCATCCCTGGCAGTGTTCAAGGCCAGGTTGGACACAGGGGCTTGGAGCAAGCTGCTCTAGTGGAAGATGTCCCTGCCTGTGGCAGGGGTTGGAACTGGATGAGCTTTAAGGTCCCTTCCAACCCAAACCATTCTGTGAGTTGATAGTGTGTGGTATCAGTATCATCCCTGCTGTGAACCCAGTCAGCTGAACGCATGGCTGAAGCAGTACCTTCTGGGCACTGTGGGGAGGAGATGTTCTTGCAGGACAGGCCACAGTCTGTGCAGGGTGGGCTGGCTCAAGCATTAGGATGCCCTGAAGCCCAATGTGCTCCTTTCCTAGCACAGCCCAAGTGCAATCACATTACCTGTTCAAACACTTAGGTAAAGCAGCTTCTTTTGCCATCTGACTCCCAGGATGACTGCAGCTTAGTGACTCACTGCTCAAACACAAGGATTATGGCCCATGCTTCCCTCCCACTGGGGCTCACCATACTGCATACACTCCAAGTGATGCTGCCCTTCCTTTGTCCTTCTTTCCCACTGCTGCATAACCAGTGGCCATGCTCCTCCTTTCAGATCCATCTGGGGAGAGAAATCCACATTTTGGGAGAGCTTTGCAGCCTTGACTGGCTGCCAGTGCCCATGGGGTGAGACCATTCTTTCCCCAAAATGCTGCAGCAGTCACTGTAAGGAGGGGAACCCTTTTCCCCCATAGCAGAGCCCAAGGGTGGGGATACTTAATGCAACACCCGTTTTACCCACATTATCATAGATGTTGAGTGCATCCGCTTGAGGATGAAGCTCAAAAGAAGATGGGCTTTGTTTTCGTCCCTTAAGAGCCTTTCCTGAAGGATGCTGTTTAAATGGCCCTGTTTGGAGTGGTCTCCCTTCATTTCTCTATAGGGCTGTGTTGAGGGATCCCCAGAGCATCCTTTCAGGACTTGTTTGTTCATTGTCCCTTCCATTTGTTGCAGATGCTGAATTTCAGCACAGCATCAGACCCTGAGATTTCAGCCATCTCCAAACCACCTTTGATCAAATATTCATAGAATCATAGAACAGTTTGGTTTGCAAAGACCTTAAAATCACCCAGTTCCAACCCCCTGCCCTGGGATTAAACCATGTCACCCTGCCCAGGGATTAAACCATGTCACCCAAATTCCTACAAAGTGGCTCAGTGGTTCACAAAGCTCAGTGTGGAAGGAGGCAGCCGATGGCCACCCTGATCTACGTAGGCAGGAGGGCATGGGGACCATGTCACAGATCCCATAGGCACTCCTGGAGGCTGAACCTGTCCATAGGGAATGGGAGGACCCCAGACCTAGACTTGAAAGGCATCAAACAGCATCGCCCTGAGTGAAAAGCAATCCCTGCGTTTTCCTCCATGGCCTTAAGAGCATTTCTCTCTTCCCTGCAGGATTGGCCATTTGATGATGGAGCGCCTCCTCCCAGCAAGATAGTGGAAGATTGGCTCAACTTGTTGAAGACCAAGTTCTGCGAAGACCCCGGCTGCTGCGTGGCCGTGCACTGCGTGGCGGGCCTGGGGCGGTGAGTCAGAGCCCAGCACCCCATACTGCACCCTCCCCATGAAAGGAGGAGAGGGAAAGCCGTGTCCACTCCTCCTTCCCTTCCCTAGTCCCCCTTGGAACAGGGGTTTTGCATGCAGTAAAACCTTAGTGGGAATAGGTGTTGATGGCAGGGTCTGCTGCCTGTGCTTCTCCTTGCACTTCCTATGGCCAGCTCCTGGGCACTGGGGTAGACCCGGGTGGCTTGGTGCTGTCCTGCCATTGCCCTGTGTTCCTTTGTTCCTTGTTTGCCATCGCTGTTTTCCTTTTGCTAAGAGCTTATCATGGAAATACTTGCAAAATGCCTCCTGCTCCAACAGGCAACTGATGCTCTTTGAGAGCCGCTGCATTGTGTTACTCCCCCTGCTATAAGTCAGGTTTGCATGTGTATTTGCATCCATATTTCAGGTAGATTTGCCTCCAAAGTCCTCCTGCTCACTAGGCAAGGAGCAAACAGCTGCCCTGTTATCCCAAGATGCTTCTTGGGCCATTGCTTGCAGCCAAATGGCAAGAAGCAATGAACTGAAAGCCACCACTGCCCATAGCACCACTATTACAGCCCATGGCATGTCCTCCTGTGTCAGGATGGGATGTCATCCTCTGAGCTGCATGGCTGGGGGGTGACCACCACTGCTGTTGCCTTTCAGCGCTCCCGTCCTTGTCGCACTGGCCTTGATCGAGAGTGGGATGAAATATGAAGATGCCATCCAGTTCATCCGACAGTAAGTCATAGAATCATAGAATCATAGAATAGTCAAGTGGTGTTTCAGTCTCAGGGGAGAAAGCAGCCCCTCTCCCAGGCACTGGAGAGATCTGGAGTGTCCAGGGTGCTGGGTTGCTTTTCATAGATTCATAGAATCAGCTGGGTTAGAAAAGACCTTTAAGATCCTCAAGTCCAACCTCAATGTCTCCTCTCGTACTGAGGGGCCCAGAACTGAACCGAGGATTTGAGGTGGGACCTCACCAGTGCAGTGGCACAGCCACTGCCCTGGTCCTGCTGCCACACTGGTGCTGATACAAGCCAGGATGCTCCTTGCCTTCTTGGCTGCCTGGGCACAAGCTGTTCATGTTCAGCTCCATCAGTCAGCACCCCCACATCCTTTTCCAGCATTGCATCTTATCTGAGAAAAAGGGAGGTGCTGCCATTCAAGCACCTTTGCATCAAGAGGCTGTAGCAGCAGCTGGGAGCATCCCTGAGGGCCTTTGCACCCTGCTTCTGGCACCTACCCCCAGTTTTCCTTCCCAGTTCTCTGTATCCTGAGAGTCAGAGGGTAGATGAGCAAGATGGGGTCAGTCCCTGTCTGCATCCCTGAAGGATGCACATAGCCACAGCTTCCGAGATCCATTCCCGCTCCAGACAGGGGGGTTCAGCACCCAGCAGGGTGGGTTTGGGATGGGGGGTTCTCCTGCCACCCCACTGACTGTGCTGACCCCTCTTGTCCCCGCAGGAAGCGCAGAGGAGCCATCAACAGCAAGCAGCTGACGTACTTGGAAAAATACCGACCAAAGCAGAGACTCCGATTTAAGGACCCTCATAACCACAAGAACAAATGCTGCATCATGTAACCTCAATGACCTCTTGCCAAAACCCGTGCACACAGACACCCGGGCGCTCACACACATCCCAACCCCTTCACCTCCTCGCCCAGCCCTGCGCATCCCCACACGCTGCCCCACTGCCAGGGCTGGGGTAGGGGGGGACATGGAGCACCACCAACATGTGCCAGCACCCACAGCACCATCATCTTGGACCCCTGAAAAGGGCTGCTCTCTCCAGCTATAGCTCAAGGAGGGAAGGCAGCACTGCCCTTTGTTTCTTGGCATTAGCAGTGAGCTCGTGATGGTTCTTCATCACCTTCCTGCTCCCTTTCCCTTCCCGTTGCACCTAGAGGGATGGGCGAAGGGTGCCTGGTTTGGGGTGATGCAGGCAGGTCGGTGCCAGCTGAGAAGGGATGGGGAGCAGGAGGGCTGGAGCACCCTCATCAAAACCCTTTCCCACCTCTTCCCTATAAATAAGGGCTGCAGCAGCAGGGACAGAGGTGGGGATGGCATAGTGTCCTCAGGGGGAAGGTGGTAGCATGGGGAGGTGAAGGGGACTCAGCTTGGTGCTGGCCTTGTGGCCATGGGAAGGGATAAGCCAGGTCCTCCCCCCTGCACCATTCCCTTTCTCCTGGCTCCTTTACCACTTCACCATCTCCCCATTACCTTGATGCCATCCAGGATGCTGCACATGGGGCTTGCTGCATGAGGCGACCATGACAGGGCTTTAAGGCATCCACTTTGCCAGGGTGCAGGCTCGGCACTGATGCACCCCAAAGTCTGGGTGCTCTTACAGCTTCCAGATTCAATGGTGGGTTCTCTTCCACTGTGTCCCCACCACTGATCCATGGTGCAAGCCCCAATTCTGCCTGCAATATCCATGGAGATGTGCCTCTTGGAGCACATCCGTGTCCTCCACCACTGTGTTTGCTGGTCAGGGGGCTGTGCTGCAGCTTCCCTGGGGGATTTTGGGTGCTCCTGGCAAGAGCACGTCACCAAACTTGGCTCCTGCCTTTCCCACAGCTCTAACACGGCATATGGCACCCCAGACCCCCCCAGCACGTGCCCTGGTGGGGTGGACTCAGAGCTGCCCCTTAGCCCAGACATTAGACATCTCTTCCACTCTCTGCCTTTGAACGCTTGCAGCAGCTGGAGCAGTGGGCACGTAGGGGCAGGGGAGGGTTTTCTTTTGATGAGGATAAGAAGAAATTTGCTAATTAAAGGTAAAAAAACTGAAGGAAATAAGCTGTGTTCCGCACGTCCTCTGGCCTTTCTTTCTCCCATCTGAGATCCATGGCACTGGGTCGCAACTGGGTACCATCCACTGTCAGCTGTGGCCCAGTGGATGCTCTGGGTGTCCCTTGGGCTCGCTGCTGCTCACCCCTCAGCTGTAGAGCATTGCAGTTTTGGGGACAAGGAGGGCTAGATACCCAGTGTCTTGTGGTTTTAGGCTGCCCAACTTGAGGTGCCTTCAGTGCCTTGTGTTGGGTATCTCCAAAGGTTTGCGTGCCTTCCAAAACATAGGTTACCCAGAGACATTGGCTTCAGAGGGTTCATCTGCTGGGATAAAGGGTGAGGAAGGCTGGTTAGACACCTACAGTACCTGCAGAAGGGTAGGGGATGGCTTTGTGCCACCACACGTAGGCAGAGGAGGAGCTTGGAGCCATTCCCAGTGTGACTCCTCCAAATGGGAATAAGTCCCACTCTACAGCAGGAATGGCCATCTGATGGCATGGGCTATGGTGCTGAGTGAGGTGGGACCATAATGCATGGCTCCAAGGTTGTCATTCCACACACCTTGGCCTGTCCAAGCCTCCATACTGTGGGACACCCCTTGGTCCTTTGAGCTTCTCCTGCCCCATTCCAGACTGTGTCCCATGGGAAAGGCAGAAATGGTTGAAGGGTCTGCATTGGTTGGGAAGGGTGAGAGATTGTGCTGATAAAAGCCTGATCCTGTATTACAGCAGTTGTTAGGTGGTCACCACCCCTTCCTGCCTTGGTGTGTCCTCCTGCTGCTACAATAGGTGCTGCTTTGTCCCCAGGGGCAATAGGAGGTGGCTTGGCAATGAGGTGGGAACAGCCCCAATCCCTGTTATCTGGGAGACTTCACAGTCCCATGTGCTTCCTGGTCACAACAGGCTGTGCCATGACTTGCAAAGAGTGAGGATAAAGCCTTGAGAACAGTTGCTTTGCAGTCTTGGAGATGTTTCTGCCCTGGTAAGAGGAGAAGAAATGTTTTCCTCATGCATGCTATGGGTCCATCACATAGCAAATGGTCCAGGGCTTCAGACTTGATGCTTTTGAGTTGGGGTCAGGATAGGGACAGAGGAGCTTGAATTCAGTCTCCTTGGGCCATGGGGACTCTTCACCTCCTCCATGCAGGGTTTGATGGTGGAAGTGCTCGGTGCTGAGCTCTGATTGTACACTGAAATCTCAGCTTGGTGGCCTTGTTTGGAGGGAACACAGAGGGGAGAGGAGGCTTTGCAGTGCTCCTTCGCTTTATGTAGCATCAACCCAACCACCTTAAAAACGGAGCTTCCAGTTCTGGACTTGGTGCAATCCATGTGGCCAAATCCTGACCACCCCCTGCTGGCAGAGCAGCATCTTCATCCCCTTATGAGTCACTGCAAAAAGAGAGAAAATAATGATGGTTTAATTGTCCTTTTTTTCTCTTCTTTTAACGGGCATCTCCCCCCTGTCCTGGAGCTTGCTGTCACCTCCCAGGTGTTAGCTCCTAGGTGTTTCAGCCTAGAGATGGACACAGAAACATTGACTATGGGTTTCCCACCCAGGTGTTTGGTTATAAACCTCAAAGAGCCAGGTTCTGTCACGAAGATCATGGCATACTTGGGGAAGAGGGAAAGTTGGAGCTCAGTAGACACAAAGCACCAGAGCAAGGCCTAAGTGGCCAATGGCTCATGGCTTGGGCTGGTTTTGGGGTCTCCTTGTACTCTGATCCCCGTTTCACCTCAGATGCCAAGATATTGAAAGGAGAGCTTTAAAAATCTGCCAATTTATTTGCCAATTCTGTTACAGCTCCAGTTGTCTCCATTGGGTCCTGGCTTTGGCCACAAACCGACCACCTTATCCTGTCCTTTTCTGCAGAAGCAAAGGCACGAACTGGGTATTACATATATCTGCCTCCTTCACTCTCTCCATGGAAAGCTTCCATCTTTCCATAGTTCACAGGGACAGGGCTTCAGACTGGTGGCAGGAGATCCAGAGGCCCATGGGGTGGCAAAGCAGAGATGCCCAGTCCATCAAACCAAGAGCTTGTAGGCTCATTTAGGAATCCTGGCTGAATCATGGCATAAATCTGAGCAGGAACTGATAGCTGTGTCCTCACCAGTGGCACCGTGTGCGTTTCAGTTACATGGCTCACGTGTCCCTTCTGTTCTCCCTGTTTGCCAGTGGGATGGGGCGGGTGTTGGGAGCAGAGGGAAGGCAAGGCAATGGTAAGGGCCAGCTCTATTTAACCAAGGTCTGGTGATGCTTATTTAGACTTCACATCTGTAAGTTCATGGAATGAGTCTTGCAATGAGGCTGAGAGCTTCGGGTGAGGAGCCTTTATGAGTAACACATTACCCGAGGAAGCAGAGTCTTGCTCTGTCTACAATAGAAAGAGTTGGGGTTGGTTTAATTTTGTCCCTGGGTTGGTTTGGTTTCTATTAGTCCCAGTGGGAAAAACTCCCAGGGAGTTCCATGACCCATGCAGTTTCCAGCCTCTTCCATCTCCTTTGCTTTCAGTGGGCTGGGAAGGTGCAGTTTGCCGGTGGATTTCAATGGGATGCTGTCTGCTGGGAGGAAAATGCTGCTGCTTTCCTTGTGCAGGGTGTTGGGGGTCACGGGCTGGCTGTGGTCCTGCAGACATTCCTGGGAATGGGGGGGCATTCCAATGACGATCTCCCAGTGAACTCTCCAGTTCCCTGCTGTGTCTTTCTGTGCAACAAAGAGCTGCATATTTTCCTTTCTAACTCCATGGGCAACCCTAGTAGTATGTAGATTAAGCCCAGATGACTTATTTTGGGGGGGGGGGGGGGAATATTTTGTTTCTTCTGGTCTGAGCCATAGCTAAGTTATTATACCCAATGCTTTTTGTATCGGATGGCATCACTTTGAATATGCAGATGAGGTATAGGATCTTGACACTTTATAATCTTTTTAAGAAAGAAACTTGTCTGTTTACTTACATCTTGTGTAAAAAAGGAGTAAAAACCAGCCCTGTATGCCTTTGAGCGATCACTTGTTGTTGTTGTTGTAATGAAATGATGGTGGTTACACTCCAGCAGCGAAATAAACAGCGTTCACTGTTTTGTACATCCCTGTGTGCTGCTAATGGGGGAGTTAACACGGGGAGGCAAAGGCAGCGCCAAACTCTGGCCAAGGGATGGTAAGGGGATGCATGGAGGGGGGTGTTGGGGTCCTGCTGCTGCCCCTTAGCTGGAGACCTCAGCCCACATCCCAAATGTGTCATCCCATCCCAATGGTTGTCATCCCAGCCCCCTTTTCTGGGAGCTCCCAGGCAGACAGTGGAGGTGGTTGGCAAGGGTTGGACCGATTGCAATTGGATGGGCTGCAGCCAGATTACATGAAGTGGAGCCCAAGCCAGAGGATGATTTATCCAGTGCCAAGGCAGGTTCTAAGGGTGCACCCAGGGCTCCAAGTGATCACATAAAGCCCTTTTCCCTATGGGCTGCTCTGTGTCCCAACCAACATAGGTGATTTTAACCCCACAGAGCATGAGAGCTCACATAGTTGAATTTAACCCCGCGGAGCATGAGAGCTCACACGACCACCATATTCCTACAAGACCAATGAAAACAGCAGCTGTAGGAAAGACCTAAATGGTATGGCCTACCCAAGTATCATACCCTATGGTATGAATACCCAAGAGTCCACCTGGAGGAGGTATAACACACACCCTACTACTGGACATCAGTGCTTCACCACTGGACCCAAAACATGCTTCACTCATGAAACCATTTGGGGTTTAACTCTGCTCCTATGACCAAGGCAAAGACCAGAGTCTCCCACTGAGGCTGAGGAGCAGGAGCTTGCATGAACAGGCTGGGTAGCAGGAAAAGCTGATGTTAACTGTGTGAGCTTTGGAATAATTGCAAAGGGTTGGGTGGGATAAGCAGGGAAGTGGGGAGGAGACTCCCCTCGTGCTGCTGTAGGCTCGGGAAGGCTTTTAAGTGAGATACCAGCTTGGAAAAGGGGGATGCTGCAGTGGGACCGCATCATCAGTGCTGTCCTTGGATTGCCCTACAGCTCCCCAAGGCAGATCCTTATCTCCTCCCAGGCTTTGAACCGCACAGCTGCGAGGGGCACAGCCTCCATGGTTGTGCAATGAGCGAGCGGGGCTCAATCAGGCTAATTGCTGCCTCACCTCTCAGCGGGGAGGCCAGGGGGACTTCTGAGCACTGGAGCAACACCCTCGCGCTCTCCTGCCCGGACACGCTGCCTCCTCCCTGCCCACATTCCTCCTGGATCTCCGTCACCAGAAACGTGCACCCCTGTGCATCCTGAATCCCTGTGTTAGGCTGATGCTGCTCCATGAGCAAGTCCTTGCCCTCCCGAAGAGAAGCACTGTGTAAGTCCATGATTTGGGATTTATGGAAAGGTCTAAGTTGGGCTCTCAAAGACCCTGGGATGTCTTCTGAATGAGTGCGATGGTCTGCAGTGCCTTAGCCCATGCCCGTTTGAAGTGGGTACCTACCATCATGGCCACACACTGCAGTGTCTTCAGTCCTGCCAATGCCAAAATCAGTGAGATCCACTCAAAGTGGGTGTCCACAGTGCGGTCTCATCCCTGGCTCCCCCTTCCAGTCAGCAGGGATCAAGTAAAGAGTTGCTGGAGATTCAGGAGGGACCAATTTCTTCCTGGCATGGACACTTCTTTCAGAGCTCCACCACCACAGAAGGACCCCAGATGCTCAGCTCACATAGAGACATCCATGCTGCAGACACCCAAAGCCTTGGGAGATGACCCATGGCTCAGGGCTGACCCTTCCAATATTAACAACCCACCTCTCTGCTCTCTGCAGAGTCAGAGGCAGAGGTTGCAGGGCCTTCAGTGGTCTTCAGTAAAGTCTGGACAGCAATAATCCAAGCTCATGGGACTGGATAAAAGCATTTTGTGAGGGCCACCTCGCTCCCCATTTGCTATGTGATAAAGCCTTCCCTTGCTTGTTTTGGACCACTGCAGGCTGCCACAGCCAACACCAGCTCTTGTTGGGCACAGC